TTTCTTTTCATGGCAGCAAAAGCTTGCCTATGAAAGAGTCCAATGACGAGAAAAGATAAAAAGAGGCATGCATGGACTTGGCATACTCGAAACAATCTGGTGTCAACCTCAGCAAGGTGGTTCGTAAACAAAGACTTTGAATTTGGAGCCGAGGCTTTCCTGGTGGAGCCACAACCACATTTTGCCAAGGCCGATACAAAGCTCCGAAATTTCCTATTATTCACTTTCTAGGCCTCAAGTTCTTTCCCAAAAGCAACAGTCATGCTCATTAGTACCTGCAAGCAAGTATGATCTCATGCAGAGCAATTCCTCGTAGCTACCTAGATGACCCTGGAAGGCTTCATTAATTCAGACTTGACAAAGCAACGATAATGACCTTTCTACAGGAAAAAGTAAGTAATTTATTCCGTCAACTCACACGGCAAAAGAGATTGATTACACATGAAAATAACACTCCACATCAAGGTCCAGTCAAAAAAATGAAGGGAAAGAAGAGAAACAGTAACAGACAAACAGGAAACAACAGAAATAGGAGTCTCTTCGTCAAACTTCACAAACCATTCAATTTTCCCACGAGTATATAGCTAGGCAGCCTGGTTTTAAACAGTTGACAATGCAACACGGCTTTGGAAAATGGAAGACACAGCAAGTGACCTCAGCAAATCTAGTTATTAGGCCACCAACATGAAACCATGCACCTATATATGAACTGAAATAATAATAATAATAATAATAATAATTAAAGGAATAGAAACTCATATTAATAACTAGGAACAACTTATCCTACCTTTTCGAGTGCATAAATTATTTAAGTGTCATAAAGTTTCCAACCGCATTATAACTTTTTTTTTTTTTGAACGGTGCTGGCAAACATTACATCACACGTTACCCGGGCTTCTGTTCGTCCAGGGGACTAAGGCAGGGGGATCCCTTGAGCCCTTATCTATTTATTTTAGTAGCTGATGTCCTCTCCAGAATGATGCACCAAGGAATTACAGCAGGTCGGATTAAGGGCTTCCGCATTAAGGCTTCATGTCCTGTGCTATCCCATATTTTATTTGCTGATGACACCATCATCTTTGGTGAGGCGAGTCATGAGGAAGCAAGAAATATTCTCCAAATCCTTGAAGATTACTGCCATGCCTCTGGGCAGCGTATAAATGTTGATAAATCTTCGGTAGTGTTTGGGAATAATGTGGCGCTGCACCTGCGGCATAGTATTGCAAATCAGCTAGGTTTCTGTATATCTGGTGGGCAAGAGAAATACCTGCGCCTGCCTACTGCTTAGGGCAGGTCTAAAAAGGAGGCTTTGCGGCATCTTCTTCGGAGGGTGGAGCAGAAAGCTGCCAGCTGGAAACAGAAATTGCTAACACAAGCCGGAAAAGAAGTTTTAATCAAATCAGTGGTGCAAGCGGTGCCAGCATATGCAATGGCCTGCTTTCTACTACCCGCGGGCTTTGTGCAGGACATTCATGCAAAAATCCAGAAATTTTGGTGGGGAACGAGTAGCGACAGTGGGGGTGTGAACTGGATTAGTTGGAACAAGCTTACTCGACCAAGAGCTCTAGGCGGGTTGGGGTTCAAAGATTTGGGACTCCAAAACAGGGCCCTGCTGGGGAAACAGGTATGGAGGGTCCTAACGTGTAGTGATAAGCTATGGGCTCGGGTGCTGAAAGGCGTGTACTTCCCCAACTCATCTTTTCTTGAAGCAGGAGCAGGAAGCACGCCTTCTTGGGCATGGAGAAGCCTGTTGGAAGGAAGGGCAGTGATCCAAGATGGCATTAGGTGGAACGTCGGGGATGGTACCGATGTGAGGATATGGAATGATGCTTGGGTGCCTAAACTGGATGGTTTCCAGCTACACTCAACAAAGCCTCCAGATTGCAATCTAACATGGGTAAAGGATCTCTTATGCCCTCACATAGGCGATTGGAACATTCCCCTGCTACAACGGCTGTTTAATGATTCAGAGATAATGGCAATTACTCGCATTCCAGTTGGTAATAATGGATGCAGAGATAGGATAGTATGGTCCCATAACTCAAAAGGAATGTACACTGTGAAGGAGGGGTACCTGCGATTGAGTAGAGACAGAGTAGTAGCTGAGAGCGCGAGGACATCAGTGGTTCCCCATGCAAATATCTTCAATTGGAAGAGTGTTTGGAGTTTGCAATGTATCCCTAAAGTACAGAATTTCCTGTGGAAGGCTGCACACAATGCACTCCCCAGCCTTGAAGCGCTGCACTGAAGAGGAATTGTGGAGGATGTGACTTGCAGGTTGTGTGTGTTAGTGTAATATGCCCAAAAGCCAATCAATGGATGTTTATTTGTAATCATGTATACACATTAAGGTTATTCCAATAAATATCATTTATGAGATAAACGCTTGCATATATTTATAACCCTAGAATATTTATATATTCTTAAATGTCCCTAGTCGATTATTATTATGGATGGGTTGTAATAATAAATTAAGACTAGCGTATGTTGAGAATTATATGTGATATGAATTCTACATACGGGTACAAGTTAGAGAACTTGTGGACCGGACCGACTCACATAAGAACGCTACATGGAACGTTATATGATTGTCATTAGCGGTTCTTATATGTATTGTCCTTAGACCTGTGATCATCAAGGTTCCCAACAAATGAGTCGTATACTTTGATATTACTCTTGGCTATTTCGTAAATGAGTAGACTTAGTGTAATCAATGGGTATATGATAAATGTGTAGTGGGTTTTGTATGATCCAGAGGGGATTCGTCCAACCCATATAACGGGTATATTATTGGTTGGTTTCTTGATAGAGTTGAACTGTAAATGCACGACCGTGCTCGGATTATGATATGGTGATATCATTAGTATCTGTTTTACACAGTTAGGTCGAGGATCAAGAAACCAAGATTAAACATATGCGAGATTGACATATTCCATGTCTCGTGTTTAATCTTGATAATGGGACGAAGGGACGATGACATGTTTGCGAGGCATATGAATCAGTACTGATCTTGTCGTTCGGGTAGCAATGATGTGTTGCTAGACGCCGCTCTTTGCTTATAATTGTAAATGAGTTTACAATTATTGCCGGACGTTACAAGTACCTACAGGGTCACACACTTAGAGCCGTTGATTCGAGCAGATGGTTGAACCGTGGTTGGATCATGGTTCGACCAGGTGTGGTTAGACCATAGTTGGAACGTGGTTGGACCAGGGTCGTTTTGGGCTGGTTTGGTTCACTAATTGTCTGATTTATTGAACCATAATTAGTGCCATGTGATGTGTAATCCCACCAAGAGTTAGTGGAGACATGATTAGCTAAAAGCTAATCATGTTGGCCAAAGGTGTTGGCCACTTTGTCCCTTGCTTTTGTGAGTGGGATTTGATTAAGCATAATCTGATTATGCTTTGGGTATTCATCACTTTGAGTCTGAAAATTTTCAGAGGATTGAGCCTTGAGAGAGTCTTGAGAGTTCTTGTGAGTTTCAGACCATACACACCTTCTTTGAGAAAGAAGAAAATACCACAAACTCTAGCTTCCGAAACCTGCTGCTAGCACATCAGTTCGGGGGTGCTCGGGTTGGAAATCGTGAGACGGTTTCCGGCTAGTCATCGACGGTTCGTGTGGATACCGTAGAGGGGCCGGGATTTTTGTCCGGCTCTTGCTGATTCGTCCCTACAGTTGGGTGAAAGACCTCAACCGATTCAGGTACGTAAAAATTGTTATTCCGTTTAGCTACCCTTCACTTAGATCCTCCATGTGTATCCGGTTTTTCCGCTGCGTATGTTATTGCATTTGATTGTCAATTTGCATGCCCGGATACTTACAATGTGGGGCAGAGCGAGAAACTTTAGAGCACTTGCTTTTCCTATGTTCTCATGCGAGAGCAACATGGTTCGCAAGCCCGCTGGGATGTGCGTTCCAAAACTCTGGGTCTCTTGATTTTCGACAATGGTGCATGTGGGAAAACTGTCTGCAGCTCCCGAAGTGTTACTTAGAATCGGTGGCTATAATCTGTTGGGAAGTTTGGAAAGCTCGTAACTGTGCACTTTTTCAACACGTCCTGATTGGCAGATTGATCCAATCAGGACTATGCGGCGGGCAATGGGTCTGTCTTTTGAGTTGCAACAGCAACGACAGGTCACCCAAGACAATGCCTCGTCTACCCACGATGCTCAAGTTACGCGGTGGATCTGCCCGCCGACGGGATGGTTAAAGATTAATGTGGATGCTTCCTTTGCCAACGCAAGTTCACCTGTTGGCTTAGCGGTAGTTGCGCGCGATAGCAAGGGGAGTGGTGGATCTTGTTCTAGGAAAAAGACCCTGCGACTCTGTTATAGCAGGTGAGGCATGGGCTTTCAAAATGGCGGTGGAGCACGCTAAGGCGTCGGGTTTTGATTGCATCATCTTTGAATCGGACTCTCTTTTGCTAGTGGAGGCAATCAAGGCACCTGTGGATGCAGTAACTAACTGGAGGATTGATGCTATTGTATCCAGTATCAAGTTTAATCTTCCTGCTTTTCATGCTTGCATAGTGCAATATATACCTAGAAGAAGCAATGGGCTCGCTGATCTTTTAGCAAAGTTTGCTCGATCAGCTGGACTCTTGGGACTTGGCATAGGTAGTCTTCCACTAGAGTTCCACAGATATGTACAACAAGAAGCTACTGCTTAATAATTAATGCAATGGTGCTTTTTCAAAAAAAAAAAAAAACTGCCAGAAAAAGGCCTATGCGCATTAGGCCGTAAGGAGGAGGACAGAAGCACATAAGAGAAGAGGCCAATGCGACAATTAAGTCGGAAACAATAATGCAACTATAGGAAGAAATCTTTCCAGACATTTTCATTTAATTTCCAACAAAAACAATGAACAACAAGAAGAGAAGCCCATAAAAGAAAAAACATCACAACAACAAATTCTGTTGATAAGCGTAAAGATTTAAGTGATGCCAACAAGTGCAGGTTCCTCACTTTACCAACTGCTGCTATTTGAACAATCCTCATAGTTTGACACTGTTTAAACGCCTGTTAAAGGCACAGCCCACTAAATTCCGACTAGCAAAGACACCCAATTTAGCTCTAAGCATGGCCAACCTCCCAGCAGCGGTCGACGGACCATGAGCAAGAGCTACCTGGTGACCGACTTCCATAACTTCCGCCCCACTTTCTTGACCACCTACATCGCTGCTACTAGCATCCAAAGCCTCAACACCAGTAGCATCAAAGCTAACCTCAAGTGACGCCTTCCGTACAAGCAACCAATCGACAGCCTCATTGCTCACCCCCTTGCATTTCTTCACCTTCACCTTCACCAACTTCGGACAACCCCAGGCAAGTGCTTCAATTGCAATATCTGTAATCGAACAACTCTTGATGCAGAGCTTCCTCAAGGCCACGCATTTCTCTGCTATACACGCAATCTCCCCATCACCAATAGTTCCGCTCCCACACAATGCCAGCCTCTCCAGTTTCATGCAATTGGCAGCAATAGCGGACAAACTAAAATGTGTAGCATGAACACCAATCAAAACAAGCTCCTGCAAATCAGGACACTGTTTGGCTACAGCAATCAAGCCCTCATCTCCAATTCTATTGGTCCTCCACCCATCGATATGAAGCTTCCTCAACTGCCTGCAATTCTGGGCAACAGAAACAAGCCCCAGATTGGAACAATCCGCGGTCTTCACAATATGCAGAATATCCAAATTCACACACTTAGAAATCGCATTGAGCGCGACATCACTCACTTGAATCCTCTCTAGATGGACCTCTGTCAAAAACTCACTCCCATCCATCGTCTCAAGCACTTTATCCCAATCTCCCAAACACCTAATTAGCTTCAAAACCTTGAGGTTTTTCGATCCAGCCACTAACGGCTCGAAACACTTACCATTAACAAGCTCCTTGAGGCAAATCGATTTCAAGCTGGCGGCACCGGGCAAGACCGGCTGGCCTCCGTCGGGGAGTCCCCTGAGCCGCTTAACCGTCAGCTCCTGGAGGCCGGTGCAGTGGCTCAGAACCGCGTTGAGGCCCTCGGCGCCGAAAGCGCAGGAGGCGAGCGAGAGCTTGGTGAGGCTGGAGCAGTTGCGGGCGAAGGCAGCCACGCCGTGGTCGGTGACCTCGCGGCAGCCCCGGAGCTTCAGGCGGGTGAGGTTGCGGCAGCGGATCGAGATCGCGACCAGGGCGTCGTCGTCGAGGCTGACCTTCCGGCGGTCGCAGCGGAGGGCGAGTTTGGTGACCGACTCGAAGCGGGCGAAGAGGGAAGGGATGGCGGAGGAGATCTCCTGGCGGGCGTCGAGGGAGAGACGCCGCCGCGTCTCGCCGTCAACGCGCAACCACCTCCTGCAGACGAGGGAGCACCGCTTCCGGTCCCCCGCGCCGAGGAATTGGAAGACGTAGGCCAGACACTCGTCGGGGATGTCCTCCGTGTGGTCCCGGGGCTCCAAAGAACCACCAGAAGGGATCAAATCCAAAGGAGAAGAGAACTGAGGAGGGACGGCGGTGGATGTAGACTGGCCCATATGGAAGGTGGAAATCACGCGCCACCGGGAAATGAATGGGAGACTTTTCTCGCCTAACAAATTTTAATCTTCTTTTAAAGAAGTACCGGTGTGGGCTTTTTTGTTTGGTTTAACGCAGCGAAGGAGATTTGTGTGCAAGGTTTTTGTACTTAGTATAGTACGCGAACGAGGGAAGGGGATGTATAAATATAGGGGATCCGATTGGATGGATTTGGCCCGTCAAATGGGGGGGTTAGGGGGATAGATAGCAAAATGTGCAATGCGTGTCTTCGTCGCTATCGCCTGCGGCCGACTAAGCACGGGTTTGCGTGTTACTTTGATGGGGGCAATGTGGGGGCGCTAGGAGAGTTTTTTCTTCTTTTTTTTTTTTCCTCTTTAGGTACTAATACTACTAACTAACAAGAGTTTTTGGTGGATCTATTTGGTAATTTTGGCTTATTTGTCTTTCAAGTTTGAAGCACTAGAAGGTCAAAATATTATATTGATGGTTTTGTGGAAGTGATTGTGACGTGGTGTTTGGGAAAGAGCCATTGAAAATGCCACTTTGTTTCCCTAGCTAACTTTTTCTCTGACTTGAAAACTGTGTCCATCTAACCTCAATGGAACACCATCCCCCTCCCCAATCTTACTCCAAATCTGCTGAACCATCGTACGGCAACCCAGATCTGATGACCCTAACCACAAAGGAGGACAGGAGCACCAAGAAGGTGCGATTGAAAGACAAGGAAGCTGAAACCCTGCTGAGTACAGATGTTGCCATGGAAGACCCGAAAGTGAGCTACATGGAGAAGCTCACCCAAGGCAACTCCTTAGATGTAGTTGAAGACCCATGGATGCTTGAGTAAGAAGTAGAAGTGGAGGAGGGCGACATCGTTCTCCAAGATGACGAGAAAGGAGTGAATGTGGTGCTGTCAGATACCTTTAAGCAGCGTCTCGACAAACCCTGGGAGAAAGCCGTTATTGTCAAGCTCTTAGGGAGGGACATCGGCTTCCGGGCTTTGCAGTCTAAGCTTCAAACTATGTGGAAACCGTAGAGGCCAATGAAGATTATAGATCTAACTAACAACTTCTTTGTGTTACGTTTATGGGACCATATGGACTACCTTCACGCCCTAACAGAGGGTCCTTGGTCGATTTGTGGCAATGCTTTATGTGTGATGCCTTGGAGCCAGGAGTTTCGACCGAAGTCTGGGTCGGTGGACAGGGCTGTGGTCTGGGTCCAATTACCAGACCTCCCAATCAATAAATACCACTCACGGATCCTCAAAACGTTGGGGAATCCTGTGGGTTCGACGGTGCGGATAGACAGTAAGACGGAGAGTTAATCCCTCGCCCAGTTTGCCAAAGTTGCAGTTTCAGTAGACTTGAAGAAGCCCTTAAAGGGTGTTGTGAGACTTGATGGGATCCCGTACAAGGTGGTCTATAAGGGCTTGCCTCAGATTTGCTTGACCTACGGTAAGTACGGCCACTCCTCTATTGTTTGTACTTACCACAATCCAGCAGGGAAGGAATCACTCGTGGCACAAGCCTTACCAGTCCATGCAAGCGGTGTGTGATTCTGTCGATGCTATGCTCACGGAGGCAAGCAGAAGTCAGAAGAAGAAGGATGAGGAAGTAGGGGAGTGGATGGTTGTATCCAGGAGGAACTGGAAAACCGAACCCTCACCCGCCGGAGTCGCTCCCACCAGCCACCAATCTCCCAGGTAATAGATTCCAATCCCTGGAAGTGGAGCCAGTTACTGTGCCTATGGATACCAGACCCATTGGGCTACCAACCGATGCCCGTATGGGCCACTTTGCACCCACCCACACCCAACACAGAACCTACCCTTCCGCCCAGCCTTCAAGACCCGTATCCACAAGCCAAAAAGCACAGCCCTGAAATCTAATACTAACCAAGCTAAGCCTTACACAAAAAGACAACCCTTAAAGGATATATCTAATTCTTCAAAACAAGCCAAATCCAGACAGCCCATCTCTGAACCCATCATGCCCGTCACCCAAGGCCCATCAACGCCTCAACCAAAAATAGTTCTCCTTAGTAAACCCTTTGTTCCATACACACCCAGACCTGCCCACTCTGTCATAAACCTAGACGAAACTTGCCACAAAATAATATTCTCTAAGTCATACCAGGGTGATCCCTCATCTCTCATCCCTCCTACCCATACATTCTCGCACCTGTAAGACAAGGGAAGGAAATACGCAGGGGGGGGGGGGGGAGGGGTGGGGGTGGGGTGGGGGTGGGGTGGGGTGGGGTGAGTATAAAACTCAAAAAGCATGTGACATACAAGGCATTAGCAATGATACAAAAAAACGGCAAATAACATCCAACAACCAACATCATAGATCGCCGTGATCAACCCACGGGTAAGCTATCGTGATATTGTACTAAGCCTACCTGCATGGTCTGGTAGCCTTAGCCAACATGTTACTCCTTAGCCCACAGCCCCACGTATGAGGCATAACCGATTAGCTACCATAACCACACACGGCGCCAAGTACCACACCACCAACATCTCAATTAACCGAGCAGCCTAGGAGCACTGCAAGGTCCATCATCTTATACCATCTCATGTAATGTCATGATGCAAATGGGATGCATGTAATGCACTGCCCGAATTTCGGACTCGTCTCAAGCCAAGGCATATCATTAAACATCTCAATTGCACCATAGGTGCCATCTCAATAGGAAATTGGGTCATCCACCATGCCAATAAGCATCACAACCATTGCACAAGTATGCAACCAAACTTACCAAACCATTAGGCACATCAAGGCCATTCATTCCTTCACTTTAGAACCCTTGGGCATCTAGGGTTCATACTAACCTATTACACACACAAGAATATACATCACAAACCAAGTATAGAAACCATATAATATAAACCACAATTCAATCATATAAATCACCCATACACCAATTCCTGTAGAATCTACCCTGCAGTAGCAGAGAGTTCACTGAGATTATAGGCACAACTACAAGCCTAACCAGCCTTGGGCATCAACATCAAAGTTGTAGCTTCCTCGTAGCTTTCCATATCCACCAATAACAATAAATTCTGAGCCCTCTAACTCCTGATATGGCTCCTACATCGACTCGGGGTCAAGCAGCAGGTCTGCTGCAGAACAGTCACCTTGGAGAGTTCATAACTCTCTCATTTCCGCTCCGAAAACAACGAACTTGGCGCCCATGGATTGATATGGATGTTACCTAACTCTCGGCTTTGGTTTCACTCAATTCTAACAGGTGGTTTGGCTGAAATCCTTTTTTTAGTGGGCAAGGATCAATCTGCCCGATAGCAGAACCACCCTAGCCTCACCTCTCTTTCTCTCCTCTTTTCCTCTCTTTCTCCTCTCTCTCTCTCTAGCACGAATCTGATCAGAACCAAATGGGTGAGAGCTGCTTACTTTCACCTCTTAGTACATGGGAAATTAGGTGAGTAAGCACCCACTTGCCACCTCTTGCCACCACTTGGTGCCACTTGCCCAAAGGTGCCACGTGCTTACTTTCCAACCAATAAAACTATGACACTTAACCTACTAGCTTGCACACGTAACACCTTCAGCATCATATTTCCAAGCCACATGACTAATTCTGATTGGTTGGTTTGGCCAATCACGCACTCGGATACCATCGGGCCCAATTGTGCACCTACGGGCACACCAATGCCCCGGTTGTGCACCATTTTGCACTAAATCAAGCCAACCGATAATCCCTTGAGCAATTGTGCATCTAACACCTATTACACCATATAATCACATTCCTAATATTTCCTACCATTTATCGACCGATTAGATGAATCGAGCACTCGGGACACCAAACTAGGCCAACCGTGCCATCGGATCACTACGAGCCCATTTGAGTGCACTAGGCCAAGCCTATGCTCACCTTTACTCTCAATCTGACACCAGCACATGTTACCGAGCCTGACCCATACCAATATGTACACCAACAATATTAACATTACCCACTTTCCCCTGATACCCAATCCAACCTACTCGAGGCCAAGCTACATCTGGTTCTCATCATGTAAATATTTCTCTATATTCTAGGGTGTACCTGGGGTATCACAACCGACCCCTGGCTATTAGGGGGTGATTTTAACTCAGTCCTCTTGGGTTTAGAATGGAGGAACAATTATGGTCGTCAGGGTGTGGCTAATAGGCTATTTGTTGATTTTGTGGCAAGTTCTTACTTACTGGACCTAAATTTACCTGGAAGAGTGGGTCGTGTTAGTGTAATGCCCAAAAACCAATCATTGGATGATTATGTTACTTTTAGAGTCATGATATTTGATTAAGGTTTTATCCCAGTAAATGTGTTCATTTATTCATTTATATCTGTGAAGATTGCTTGGACATATTTATAACCCAAGAATATTTTATATTCTTAAAAGTCCCTAGTTGATTATTATTATGGATGAGTTGTAATAATAAATTAAGACTAGCGTATGTTGAGAGTCATATGATAAATTAGGGAACTTGTGGACTAGACCGACCCAACTTAAGAACACCACATGGATCATTACATGTTGTCATTGGTGGTTCTTATAAGTGTTGTCCTTAGACCTGAGATCAACAAGGTTCCCAACATATGAGTCATGTGCTTTGATATTACTCTTGGTTACTCGTAGCTGGATAGACATTAGAGTTATTGTTGGGCACATGATATAATATGTAGTGGGATTTGTTTGGTCAAGATGGAATTTGTCTAGCCCATGTAATGGAAAATATATCTGCTGGGCCCTTTGAGAGAGTTGAATTGTAAAATTCATGGCCGTGCTCAAATTGATTGATATGGGATATCAATCGTATTTGTTTTGGACAGTTAACTCGGATTCAAGAAACCATAGATTAAACATATGCGAGAATGACATATTCCATGTCTCGTGTTTGATCTTAATATTATAAGACAAAGGGACAAAGACACAATAATAAGGCTTGTTGAATCGGTATTGATCTTGTTACTTGGGTAGCATTGATGTGTTGCTAGACAC